ATTGTCAGTTATGTGACTTTGACTTAATCTCATTGTTTAAATTAATGAAGGTAATGTTAATTAATAATTTTGGTGTAAATTTAATTTGGGTGTATTATATATTATTATACACGAATTTAGGAGTTTCTTCGTTCAAATTTTCTTATTTCTGATGCATTTGCTTCAAATTTGACACCGAAACAGTTTTTTAGATCTCTCCTCAAGTCATTTAGTTCCTTAATATCACATATTTAAGCGAGTACAATCAGTACAATATGAAATTAAAAAATGAATTAATAATGTTTATTTCAAACACATAGTTCGTGACCATTATTCTCGTAAAAGTCGAAAAAATCATTAGCAACAGAAAACATTTTTCAATTGTTGCCAAGCAGATGATTAATGATTTTTAAGTATCGGTTAGTTGGTTATATCGCACCTTATTTGAGTAATAGTCTTTGACACGAATAAATACATAGCAAACGTTGACAAAGATAGTACAACAAATAATAAATCAAGTGAGATGCAGGCGGATCTGAAGGTTATTATTTTCATACACAGAATTGCACAGTACATGTATTTAAGTCCGTGTGTTTCAAAAAATAAATTCGTTTTTCGGCTGGTTGGAGCGTTTTTGGCGATTTTTTCAATCCCTCTGGGATGTGTCCTTCTAAGGCCAAGAGTGACATTTTTTAAGAGACTTCCAACATCGTGTTTTATTATGGATTTGGCTAACTTTTTCATGGGGTAAGATTATGCTCCTGTAAGTTTCCGGGCCAGTTCTAGCTTTACTTTTTTCAGCTATACGTGCTTGGCGATTTTCTGCGGCATGCAAAACATACCCCGAAGGAATTGGCGAGCAAAAGTGTCCTCCAGAATTGTACTAATCGAGCGCATGCTAACGAACATGAAATTTTCCTTCAAGAAAAATAAACAAATTGTTCTAAAATATTGGATTCTGCATGGTGTCTATATCTTGATACATAGTTTGCAGCTTTATGACTGGTCGAGTAGATACGATTTTGATATAATATCGTCTTACTTGGAATTCAGGTACAGTAAGGCACTGTGCCATTTCATTTTAGTTTTGGTCAGAAGTTGATTTTCAGGATTGTTAATTATTGGGCAGGGTTTTCTACGCTCATGATCTTCGAGTGGTTAAACTTCATTAGAAGACGATATGAGCATCTGGACCAATACGTGAAAACAGTTGTTTCTCAAAAAGTTCTATTACTTCCAGTTGTTGTGAAAGAGCTGCGCCTGATTGGAGAAGTGTATAAGAACCTCACGGAATTAACGGTTGAATTAAATGCCCTATTTTCCTTTCATTTATTTTTTGTGATTTCTGTAAGCATGGTTCTGACCCTTCATGGATTAAGTTTCTCACTTGTACTATTATATACTCTTGTATCAAGCATAGCAGCTCTCATTTTCGTCGTCGTATTTTTTGTAAGTTTGTGATTATTTTCAACTTCGCAAAATTGACGAGTTTTAACGTTTTTAGGGGAATGTTCTAGTGCTGGTCTTAGCGTATGAAAAACTACGCAACAAGCGGCAGAATATTATGAAAACTTGCTTCATAATTGCAGAGAGTCTGGCGCCAGGCGAAATAAAAAATGAGTTATGCGATTTAACGAATTTTATGAGAAATTTGCCGGCAGAAATTTCAGCTTGTGGGTTATTCGAAATGGATTTTCGATTAATATCCAGCTACATTTCCGTGGTGTTTACTTACTTGATCATTATTTTGCAGTTTAATATGACTTTTGTGTGAATATGCTGAATATTTTTGAACAGCGTTCAACGCAATTTGTTCAACCTTTACCATGCCATGCACAAATTATTTGAAAACATTTTTCCAATTCTTTTTCCTTATAAGTACGATATTTCGCAATACATAAATAGTGTAGGCTGACTTAATATGGCTAAGGATTTGAGCTGAACCTGGCACCTATATTGCACAAATTTGTTAATAACTTCTACTAACCCAAATTCTTCCGCTAGTTGTATCAAAGCACAGGTGTGGCACAAAACAAATTGGTTGCTTTAGTGATTTCTTTCAATTTTAATTATCATCCATTCTTGGAAAGACATGGCTTTAACGTAATGGTGATGTGAACACTTTTAGGAGGAGTTTCACACATAAAATCCTATCTCCTAATTATGAAGTCCTCAGTTATACTTATTACTTCATAATATATGGTTGCTATAGAAAGTCACTAGAAACTCTTGAACTTCTAATCAAACGTAGGTAAAGGTTTTTCATTCGCTCTTCACTCCACATACTAGATTTTCAGTTTCTATATATGAATGTTGATATATTCAAACACAATTAAAAAACTGCCCTACTTTATGCATGTATTAATAACTGTTGCAGCTGTCTTGTATGGTCTTACAGCATGCCCAACAGCTGTTGTTACAACTACAGTGTCTTTTATTACTTGCATGTTATTCTGTTGATACATTTTAGGGCATATGCATGTGAAATGCGAGAAATTGTTGAAATATTACGTAATCATATAGGGTTAAGCAAAGTGAGCACATGAGAAAGTTACATTTAGAGCTGGGGTCTCCACACTTTCTAGCCTAAGAAGTTGGTTCATCAAATTAACATGCCAAAACACTTTTAAAATTAAAGTGGATATACAGCGTAAAGGCAAACTATTGTTCAATTAGGAAAATTTTAATTCACTGTGGGCAAATGATCTAAAACATTTTCAAGATCAGCACTACTTAGTAGGCAAAGTAAGCAAGTTGATAATTTTAGGTGGAACACCCGGTATATTACAAAATTTTTGAATTCTTCTGAAACTGAAAGTAAAATCTATCCGTTTTTAAGTCTATCAGTTTTTAAGTTTAAGAAAATTTCTCACACTTAACTTTTGACTTAGAACTTTTTCACAAATTGTAAAGTCAAAAATTAAATCCTAAAAATAGTCATACTACTATACTATTTACCTTATTAAATAAGTTTGATTCCTATTAATTTTTGGTTCAAATGAAAACCCCTAATAGTAAAAACTTTATCTGATTTAATATAAAGAAAAATGTCAATTTTGTGTATGACAAAAATGTCCAGTTTCCGAGACATTGTCATTCAATTTAATATTTGTATAAGGCTATTTTCCTTAGGATTTTGATGTTGATAATCGTCATGTTGAAAATTACTGTCATATTTAACTTATTTTAAGAACATGTGAATGGTTTGCATGCGCTCTTCAGCAAATTATGAAAAAAATATAAAATATATAAAGAAATTAAATGTTAGCGGTATTATTCGTCACCCTCTGTATTAACATTTTTCAAAATATAAAAAGTCTGTTAAGTAGGCAAGCTTTTTTCAAAAAGGCCCCAAATCAAATAATAAATACTCTTTATAGAAAACGTTATTAATGCTGTTAATGATGCGAGCAAAGACAAACATTCATACATCATGACCTGGACTGAATGTGGACCTACCATTTAGGCATTTTTTACATATCAAGCTATAAAAGACCAAAGTTTTTTAAAAATTTCGCAAGAGATTCAGTTAAGCGCGTTGTTAAAATCAAGTTATGCATTCCGTCTCTTTAATGCTCCAAACAATGTAAAGCATTCACAATAAATGACCTGAATTGAATCGAGCTTCAAAAGTTAAAATTGTCATGAAAATCGAGCGGAAAATTAATCGAAAAAATCTTGTCAAAATCAAGTAACGTGGTAAATCGCTCTTGATGATGCACGCAAAGAAGCATTGACAAATAAAGACCTGGCTTGAATCTGGGTCTGCCTAAATGCCCAGCCTTTACAAAAACTATCAAGTTCAAATTGCTAAAAACTGGAATAAAACTGACCCGGTTATTCGGTTCGGAATTCATTTTAATTGGGTGATCAAGTGGTGTGAACGTTTTGAGGATTTGAGGATAAATGGAGGATGGAGCGCCAGCTTGCGCAAAGCTGGTCAGAATGATCTTTATACATTTCTTAGCTTGAACTGATTTTAGTTTTTCGAAAGTTTCTTACATTTTTTACTTTTTTATTTTCCAATAACACCACTTTGGGTTTTGGACAAATTTCTTGCTATACTAAACAATTTTTCTTCCTTTTTCCAAGTGGCACGATCCAGCTTTCTATAAGTTTGGCATTACTTTGCCTGGTTTCCATGTAGGTGCATGTAGAGATTTTAGTCCCAAAATTTTTGACTTTTTTATGATATTGTTGCATATCATATTTATTCGACGAGGAACGACGAGGGAGTTTCTGGATTCTGAGTCGAGTTTTTCGATTTTTGCACTCAATTTTTGTCAGATTTTATACAATAATTAGGGGTATTCTATGATAGACTGTTTTTGTATGAACTTTTACAGTCTAAATGTAAAATCAGTGTTGTTGTGCGGTGAACTACACTTTTTATCGTGGTGGAAGGTTTGAAATTCTCAGTAGGGATTGCTCAAATTTACAAATTTTAACTTTTGCCTTTGAATTTTTCAACATTAATCGGTCGGGTTTTCCACAGCGAACTGTTGTAAATTGTAAAAAAATCCGAGTGTTCTGCTGCGAACACTCCTTTAATTGTCTTCGAATCAAAGATATGAATAATTGGTCCTGGCCTATTAATCTAGACTTTGCGCGGTTTTTCTTTATTTAGCACACCAAACGAATTATTTTTGCCTAACGATTCGTGCTAGGGAATTTTGGAGGCCAGGATCCGCCCGACTATTCCAGATTTTTTGCTGTCCATCACCCTGCAGGCTGTAAGTGGTCCAGATCAAGATTATAACCGGACGTGCGTCTGTTCTTCTAAATGTAAAAGTATATAGTTTATTTGATATAAGTAGATGGCAACCAGGGTTCTAGTTTTTCTTTGCATACATTTATGCTGCTCGCATGTGCAGATTTGTGGATTTTTTGGGTCTCATTTCCATTTAGCTTTTTGCGATTTTTATAGAGCGATTTTTGAAATAACGGCGTTCCTCCTATGCTTGTCAAAATTATGATCTGTTTTAATATCGATTTCATCAAAATAAATTAGGGTGTCTCGGACACCACGAAGGCAGTTCGAACTGCTGGTGCTCGCATACGGTAGTTTGAAGAACTCTGTTTTAGGGTATGTGCATGCGAAATGCGAGAAACTGTTGAAATATTGCGCAATGATGACCAAGCGAATATCTAGAGCTAAATAGATAAAATAGGGTTTAGCAAAGTGGGCATATGAGAAAGTTACGTTTGGAGAGTGAAAGGTTTGGACGTCTTTAGCACGTCATGAAAATCATGCCATGGCTTCAATTCTACCAATCCAACTTGCTTCTTCTTCACTTGGCAATTTAAGTTTTTGGAATTATCACACGCACAGTCAGAAATCATTAATCCCTAACCAGGCCATCAAGTTGGCCGTACAAAAAGACAACCATTCGATGCATGTAAAGTTAATCAGGGGAAAAATGGCTGATTTTCGGTGATTTCATAAAAAAAAACTGAACTGTGTGCAAATATTTCCGGTACAACTCAGCCTTTGCAAGTGAAAGACCGTTTCATATAATAAAACTGCCACAAATGCAAATTTGCAATTCTTCAAAACTCCCTGCATATAGCGTTTAGGCCTTATAAATCGCACGATTAAGCAAAAATAGCATCAGAAATGAGAATCGTGATTTCTGAAACGTATCGTGGTCCCAGAAGAAGTTTTGTGACAGATTTTCGAACTATTGCAAGCCGCATGAAAAAATCTAAAAAAAGCGACAAAAAAGTCCACACCTGAAATAAACTAGCAGTTCTGCTTTTTCTGAACCGGGGTTGATCTTCATGTCTTCACTATATATAATTAACTGGCTAAATGAGCATGTTTGTCGAATACAACCAAAAGCAAAAGACATTAATTCGAAACTCAAACTAAAACAAATTATTATTATACGATCATTTTAAAACGAAACAGAAATAAACTGGCAATAAAACTTAAAGATAATAGGCTTGTGGCTTATGTGACTGTTGGTGTTCCCGTGAAATTTAATACGTTCTGGCTTTGAATCTAAATAATAAAATTAATCCCGCATAGGTTTTATTATTATTTGATTAAATGAAAAAAAAAAACGAAATCCTTAGTATTAAAATTTGCCCACATATGCCCACGGTTTATCGGCAAACAATATTTCAAAATTTAATTGAAGGATATTAGACCGGCATTGAATTGTTTTGTTCTCATGTATTTGCATGGTAAAGTGGAAATAGATATATAATTAATAAGGCGTTTTTTAATGTGTTCAAATAGAAGTAAAAAATAAAATCGCCTATAACAAGCTTTTCCTGTCCCATGTCTAATAAATGTTATAGAACCTGTAACAACTACATATCAAGTTTGTCTGCAATCACCTTAACTTCCTTCTCGAGCTAATGCGGTAGTCTGTTCATAAGTGTATTTTTTTCAAAACCCAGTTCTATGCTGAAAGTCGATATTCTAAACGGAATTTGATTATCATTTTTTTTCTGGCTCCAAATGGCAATTACGCAACCTTTTGTTGAAAGAAAATGGAAAGTAATGGTTTTTTGGCAACTTGTTTCAGAACATGTCATAAAATGTAACTTTAGGCATTAAGTAAGCTAGTAAATGTTGAAACGACGAAACAGTTCTTTTCATGTTGCGGCTTTTTACAAATGTCTACTGACTAAAAGCATTTCAACCAATCCTGGTATCATTAAAATGAAAGATCTCTTCAGATGAATAAAATTCATTATGCATTCCTTGCTCAACGGGAAGGCTTGGCAAATTCCAATCAATTTATTATTTTGCACGATGCTGTTAGATAAAGTCTTGTTTGATTAACTCTCTTAAGTGCACACCGTAATGGCATCTGATTGTTCCATCCAATTAAAATGGATATTGTTTTGACGGAATTTTTAACTATATTTTTTCATAAAGAAACTATTTTATAAGTAGGGTAAACTGGTAAATGGGAAAGTTCATCGACACTTTGACATACCTTAACCTAAGACGTGTTTAATGGGCCTATGTACTCATCTAAGGGCTTCAACATCTTCTTCTATCTAGTAGTACTGCACCGAAACCACATCAACAACCAATTAACACACAGCAAGCACTAAGCACAAAAAGTATGTTGGAATTTCTTAAAAGTACTGCCACCAAATAGTTTGCTTTGTTAACATTGAGTTGCGATCTCTCTTCTTGTGGTACGGTTCTCTTGGTTCTTGGTCGCAGTACGACTTCGAATACTGTGCCGTGCCGAAGACCAATAACGGGCAAGAATTTACAGGGGCGGACTAGAATTGTATTTGTCAACGTTTTGATTAATTGCGATTTATGCATGGTCGTAGATGGGCCTGAATTCAAACCGACCAACTGAGAAAAAAATATATTTAATGCAAATCTGCTCAGCTTCTCATGTGTGATCCTCTAAAAAAGTCGACTATTTCTTCAGTATCTATGTGTATTCAATGAATTCTGGAAGAATCTTGAAAAGGTTGCAAAGCATAGGAATTCGCCACTTCAAACCACGTCCCCAGCCTCAACACCCAACAGGTCTCGATTTAGGCAAAATAATTTCGTGCCTGTGAAACGTCACGAAAAGTTCTTTTCCACGACGACCTAAAAGCCCTAAAGAGCTCACCAGTATCATCATCTTCGCTATATTTCGAGCATTTTTAGGCCGCCGTAAAAAACCTTCTCGAGGTTTCTGCTGATCTCATTTTCAGAGATATGTTCCTTTCAAAGCTTATAAAAATACAGCGTGTCCGAAAATTGTGCCATCAACACCTCAGGAGGCAGCTCTAGAGCGAAAATTAGTGGGACAAGTTCCCATAACACTTTTTGGAAAACTCAATAATAACTGATCTACAGGGCGTCAAAGTTAAATTGTTTTAAACTTTGGGACACCAATTACTTATGATCATTTATATTATTGTTCAAAATGTTAAGGGGTTGGACTCACCCGTAGGGATGATTCGATACAAGTAAATACAAGTAGGTATTTGATACATTTGTTTCGATACCCAGTACTTTCGTAATCGATTCGTTCTTTCGAAACAAATACTTGGTATCGAAATAAAATGCTCGTATCGAATCGAATTATCAAAAGTGTAAACACTATATAAGTCACAGAACATATATTTATGAAGATATTTTTTTATAGGATATTTTGTATTTTTTTTTATAGGATTTATAGGATATTTTGTGAAGTCTATTGAAGAACTTGAGTTGGATATCTCACAGCCATCAACATCTAGCGGTTCTAAATTAGAAAACATGTTGGAAT